CGTGCAGGCTGCTTTTAATTGGAGTGGGAAGAGCCGTGTGGAGCATCCATGGGCTGGAGCAGGGCCATGCACCATGAGAGCTCTCCCTGAACACCCACCTGGGTGTTTCCCTGTTCCACACCTCGGGCTGAGCTTGTTTTCGGGAGCGCGTTGTCGGCAGCTCCTGGGAAGAGGACACTGTACGAGAGGGCCCTGGGTTGGGCTCCTGGATTAACTCATCTCTTTTGAAACCTTAAACTGGATTTGTCTTCCCCATCCTTCCCTGTGCTCCCTTCCCACGGTGCGGGGCTGCAGGGGATTCCCCTTGAACCGGCTCTTCCACGGGCATGCTGGGGCACAGCAGCCTTCTCCCAGTGCTTCTGCAAGCCTGCTGAGCCCTCCCATCGATGTGAAAAGAGTCTGGCCCTTCTCCTTGCTCATTTTGGGGGTTGCCATGCCCAGGAGGGCTGTTTGCAAGAGATGCTCTGTGTCTGCCCCACACCCATGTGTGGCAGCACCAAAGTCCATTTCTTACGGCAGCAACAGGGGAAACTGAGTCACAGAGCGCGGCGTTAGTTTTTCCTCCTAAGGTCTGCAGTGCTCGGACCATAAATCACTTTCCTACGCAGGAGAAATACTGCAGGAGTTTGTCATCACTCCCTCAGCACTAACCCACCTCCATGGCTGTGCAATGCCATTGTGGACGTGCGTGCAATGATTGCATTGTGCTCAACACTGAGGACGAGTTGGGGACAGAGTGCTTCAGCCTCTGCCATGTGTGCCACCGGAGTGGCAGCCACAAGTGTGCCCTACAGCTCAGGGCTCACGTTTCAGCTGCTGGCACCCGTGGGGCTCAGCCCTGTCTTTGTGAGGCTTTGCAGGGTATGGAGGGGAGATTCCTGGCTGTCAGGCTGGAAATCCCAGCCAGCAGGTCAGCTTTTGTGGGGACGACGCTTGTGCAGTGTTCTGGAGACATCAGCTGCTAAAAGGTGGGAAAATGTTGCCAAGAGGGCTAGAAAAGAGACAGTGATTTTCTTCTTTCCCCAACAGGGCGAGCTGCCACTCAATGCCATCCAAGTGTTGTTTGAAGAGAATGAGAAAACCTCATTTTTAATAGAAGGTGCATATTCAGGGCTGTGCTGGATGCAATCTGGGTTTGGGCTGGGATCCTCTTGTCCCATGGTGGTGTAGGGACCTGGTGCCTGGGGATGAGGTTTGGGCTGGGGTATGGCGTATGGAGATGAGGTATGGGGATGGGGTGTGGTGTGTGGGGATGGGGTATGGAGATGGGAATGGGTGTGGGGATGGGGAATGGGGGATGGGGATTGGGGATGGGGATGGTGGATGGAGATGGGGATGGGGGATGGAGATGAGGTATGGGGATGGGGATTGGGGATGGGTAAAGGGGTATGGGAAATGGGTTATGGAGATGTGATGTGGGGATGGGGATGAGGGATGGAGAATGGGTATGGGAGTGCCCATGGGTTCCTGGGGGAGACATCGTGGGCTGCAGCCTGGCCCCAGCAGCAGCCCCGCGTGATGCTGTCTCGCAGGCCGGCTGATCAACTCCATCCGCGTCATCTGCCGCAGCTATGAGGATTACCAGGAGTGGCTCTACTGCCTCAAAACTGCCCAGTTTCGAAATGCTGACTCCTCCTTGTCCGGATCAGAGAGTTTCTCAGGATCAAAGCTGCCACACCTCAGCCAGGTAACAGCTGTTGCGGATTTGCGTGGAAACCAGTATAAATCCAGTGGGAATGGGGATGGGTGTCCCTGATGCAAGAGCCTAGGGTGAGCTGGACCATGAAGCTTTAGCCCCATCCATAGAAATCTCAGCCCTAGGGAGCTCCATCTTGTAGGATGCTCAGCTCTGGGGTTCTCCATCTATCGAATGTTCAGCCCTAGGAATCCCCATCCGTAGGATGCTCAGCCCTAGGGTTCTCCATCCACAGGATGCTCAGCCTTAGGGAGCTCCATCTGTAGGATGCTCGGCCCTATGGAGCAGCACATGTCAATGCAGGGTGTTGGGATGCTCAGGTTGCTCTGATGCAATCCTCTTCTCTTCCCCTGCAGTTTGCTGGCAGTGGGAGAGGCTCACTGGCCTCCGATGGCCGCACCAACTCTTGGGCATCTGGAGGGAAAGGGACCAACACCCTGACACACCTGTCCCAGCACAGCGGCTCGCTGCACGACGCTCAGTCCTTCATGTTGCTGGAGGAGCCACACAGCCCTGGCTATTCCCAACCTCTCCACGTGAGTGAAACCCATGCCCAAATCCTGGGAAATTAATGGGGAGGGAGCAGGTGGAGCACCCAAGTGAGGCGGTGACCATGCATTGCTCACATGTGGGTCCAGGCTGATGCAAAAGAGCCAGCTTTGCCTTTTTGCAGTGCCTGCCCCACACCAACTGGCCGAGCACCGTGCTGCCTGTGCAGGAGCTGCGGAGGGGCAGCAGCACCAAGAAGCCTAAAGGCAGATGTGGTCCAGGCACACAGGATGTGGAACAGGCACCGTGCAGCCTCATCCCCCAGCACCCCATCCTGCCTGCTCTGTACAGTGAGCCATACTGCACCTACAGCACACCGCATCGCTCCACGGACCCCCCTGCACAGCTGGAACTGAGCAATGTAAGGCTTCCTCCTCCCCAATTCCTTCTGTTTTCCTCACTGTGATGCTTGTGGGAATAGCAGCCCTGAAGCGGTGTGGTGGGGGGCCTCCATGGTGGGCATCAGCTCTGCCATTTGCTCTGTTTAGGTCCTGCAGTGTCAGAAGATTGCCCAGCCCCTGCCTGGCAGGCACTGGATGGAGGTGCTCGGGGCACAGAGACACCCCCAGCTTCCTGCTGATGCTCCATACCTTGCCAACGTGAGTTTGTCAGTGCAGCCCTGGGGCAGGGAGCAGCCCTGCAGTGCTGTAAGCACCTGGGGGCTTGATTTGTTTCTCTCAGGGTTGGAGCCCGTTGTGTGAGTGCAACCTGGGGACTGGGGAGGGCATGGGGTGCCCCAGGACTGCAGCACTGTGCTGTCCCCCATCAGTGCATCTCCTTCTTTCCAGGTGTCATCTCTGCCAGAGGAACATCTGGGCCCCTTGCTGCAGCCACCAGGTGAGGCCCGTGGGTGCTGCTGGGTTCTGCATCCCCATCTCCACCCCCATCCACGTCCCCATCGGTATCTTTGGAGCGGGGCTGAAGGAGGAGTGCAGGGATCCATGTGTGCCCTTCCCTCCTCCTTGCTGACCGCAGGCAGCTAGCTGAATCAGGCTGCTTTGGAGGAGCTCTCAGGGCTGTGCTGTCTCCCTGCAGATGATGGCATGGGTGCCTACGATGTGCCAGAAGGCGGCTGCCTGCACCGTGACTCTGCAGTGTACCACGACTACGCTGAGCTGCAGAGCTTCCAGAGCGAGCTCAGCTATGACAACCTGTGGGACGCCGAGGGCAGGGAGCCAGACAGCCCAGCACCCTGCTATGAAGTGTGAGCAGAGGTCTCACCGGGCACAGGATGACCCCTGGGCTCTGTTCTCCTACCCCAGTGGGTACAGGAAGCAAAGGGACCCGCAGCGATCCCTGGGAGCAGTGTTAAGGACATCCCAGAATGGTTCCCATTGCGGGGAGGGGGTAAGGGGGGGGACACATCCTCCTCCCATCCCTCAGTGTCTGGGGGAACCTGGGGAGATCAGGGCACAAACAACAGGGGACAGAGTCTGGGTGCTATCGCTCTGCAGCCTCTTGGCCAGATCCCTCAGCACATACGAGGTCAGCAGCAAACCCAAATGTTTTCTTTTTTTTACCTGAGGCTCCAAATTCTTAACCTTTGTCCCCTCCAGAGGCTGCAAACCAAACATAGCGATGAAAATCTGTTTCGGTGCACACAAAGCAACCCAGCAGCGTTTTGTACTTGAATGTCTACGTATTACATTGTACTTACCTGTATTTTCCAGAAGGTATCCAGCAAAGTTTACATGCGAGGTTTGAGTGAATTTGATGTATTTAATGTGTAGATGTGGCTGAGTAGGAGATGTATTTAATGTTGAAGCTGTGGATGAGGCTCGGTGCTGCAGTGTGTGTGTTGGGTTGGGTCTTCTGCTGTCGTTGTGTCGTTCCAGGTTTACCTTCTTGTTGGGAAGCTGTGTACTAATAACCGAAAGGATCTATTTATTCAGAATGGAATGGTACTGTGAGCCCTACAATTACAGCACACCTTCCTCTGCCAGGCGTTGTTCTCTCTTTGCCATCCCTGTGCCTTCACTCTCCCTCCTGGGGGTCTCAGGAAGGGGCTTTCCAATTCACCCATGCACCTGCTGCAAGGTGCACGGTCTTGCTGGCAGCAATGCAACCCACAGCAGCAGCCCTTCCCTCCCCCCCCCCAGCTGCACTGGGCTAAATTGCATTATTGGTGCATGGCTGCAGCGTTGGCTCCTGGGCTCCATCTGGGTGAGACTCAAATATCCCCTGCTGGCATTGCTCTCATGCAGCAGGAGGTGGCAATAGCAGCACGGTCCCACAGCGCTGTCCCAACTCCCAGCACTCCCTCTGAAACCCTCTTGCTGGCAATGACACAGCCCTGACCTAGCAGAAATGTCCGCAGGAAGCTTTGCTCTCATCTCATGACAGGGGAGGTGACTGAAATATAAAAGGAGCTGCTGCATCCAAGCAGATTGCAGCACAGAGCCGTCGCCACCTCGGCGCACATGGTGCAAGCAGGCCAGCACCTGCCTGACTTTTTCAAGGAGGTGACAGCCATGGGAGCTGCATGCAGGGCAGGGTGGCACTGCGCCCACCTCGGTGACACGCACGCAGCCTCCAGGATGCACCCAAAAGGTCGTTTCTATTGTGGTGGTGGGGCTGGGATGCTGAGCTGCTGGCTGCTCCCTCTGCGGGTGCACCTTGGGTTAACCTGGCTGCTAAGAGAGGTGAGTGCTGGAAAGCCCAGGCTCTGAAGGACTCACCATGCAGACACGGGAATGCACACATAGTATTAAAGGAGATAGATCTTTATTGGAAGCTTCCAGCATATTTAGTCTGTTCTCTTCCTCCACGCAACTCCTCACACCCAACGTACAGCTCCTACACAGTCCACACAGAGTCAGTATCTCTCTTTCATCACATGCTGCTATGTATCCCACTGCATAACTGCACTGTGTGCTCTCTGCTCTGCACTTATGGTCTTCAGTGCAACCCATGCACGGCACTCTGTATTGCAAAGAAGAGCAGAACCTCCTCTTCTTGCCCCTTATTGCCTCAGACTGCTCCTATAAAGCTCCTAGGCAGACCCACATGGGATTTTGGGGCAGATTTCCCCAGTATCTTTGTGGATCTGGTCCCTAAGTGCCTACCCAACCCCTCATTTCTGCTGTTTGCAGACTTGTGAGTGCAGAAAACCCTCATGGGGGTTCTGGCTCTTGGGTGACCAGACACAGAACCATTTTGTTTTTGCCTCTCACCCCCTTCTCCCCCACAAGGTCACACTCTCACCCTCCTCCTCCTCCCACTCCACATCTCCAGGACAGGAGCAGCATGGAACAAACAGACCCCAGGGCTGGCACCCATCGAAGCCAAATGTGCACTCCCTGTGCCCTCTCTGACACGCTCTTGCCCTTGCCAGGGCTTTTCCCAGTGCACAGCTCCAATCCCTTTTGTAGAACATGAAGCACTTTTTCTGTTTGTCCTTTTTGCTCTCCATCTCAGTGTTTTGCCAGTGGGTGACCCCCACAGGGAGGTCGGATGCCAATCCTTCTCCTAGCAGGCGGCATAAATATGCAAGAAGTGCAAAGAAAGAACAGAGCTGGCCCACGCCAGGCTCCTTTCCTGTCAAGCACGTGTACAAACCGCCTACCGTGTTGTCACCGGAAGGATCCTGCTCCCCGTGACATCTTGTCCCCTTTGGGGATGGCTCCTGAGAAGTCTCAGTGCTGGGCTCTGGGCTCGTCATGCTGCCCAAGAACAAGGTGCCCATCCTCAGCTGTCCTTGGGAACGTGCTCTCCTGGGGCTAGGTGCGGGGCCGTCCTTCCCTGACCTGCCGTCGGAAGTAGCGGATGGCAGACAGCGTGCCAAAGCTTGCCAGGAACACTGCAAAAGAGCCCGTCACATTCCTATGGTGAGGATGGGAGCTTCTTGCAACCTAGAGAGCGTTCTCCCAACTTGGAGGCCATGGGACCTCCTCCTATGTATCCCCATCTCATGGGGTTGTTCCCAGCGCATTCCATCCTGTGCTGCCCACACCTTGGAGACCACATCTGGATCTCTAGTTTGAGCACATGGGTCATAGTTCCACCAGATGACTGTTTCAAAGGAAAGGATGCACAGACTTCATTTGTGTGCTGAGGAGTGAAAGGACTGAGCACCGTGGTGGCAATGGATTGAGCACGTTGGTGATATTGGAGTTACTGAGCACCATGTTGGTGTTGGATTGAACACCATGGTGGTGTTGGATTGAGCACCACGATGGTGTTGGATTGAGCACCATGTTGGTGTTGGATTGAACACCATAATGGTGTTGGATTGAGCACCATGTTGGTGTTGGATTGAACACCATGTTGGTGTTGGATTGAGCACCATGTTGGTGTTGGATTGAGCACCACGATGGTGTTGGATTGAGCACCATGTTGGTGTTGGATTGAACACCATAATGGTGTTGGATTGAGCACCATAATGGTGTTGGATTGAGCACCACGATGGTGTTGGATTGAGCACCATAATGGTGCTGGATTGAGCACCACGATGGTATTGGATTGAACACCATGTTGGTATTGGATTGAGCACCACGATGGTGTTGGATTGAACACCATGATGGTGTTGGATTGAGCACCACAATGGTGTTGGATTGAGCACCACGATGGTGTTGGATTGAACACCATGTTGGTGTTGGATTGAGCACCATAATGGTATTGGATTGAGCACCATGATGGTGTTGGATTGAGCACTGCGACTGTGTTGCATTGATCACAGTAGATCTGTACAAGGTGTGGTTGACAGGATAGTTGAGTTAGCTCTCCTGATATCTCAAAGACAGTGGCCTTAACTTGATGCCAACACAGTGCTGGGAGTTTTTGTAACCCTAGGCCCCCATCCCACCATATCATTCTGTGGGCTATCTGCAGACATCCTGATCCCAGCCAAAAGCAGAAAATACCCAAAACTCAGAATGAGAAAATAGAGATGTACAAATGGATGGAGCTCCTCTCTGAACACGCAGCAAAAGCTTTCAGTTTGGCTCACAGCAGAGATCAGATCATCTCATGTGTGCCCAAGAAAAGCTCCTTGCATGCTGCTTTATGCAATCCCATGGCATGAGGCTCACTGTGCCCATGTCTGCCCCTGGTACTAAGAAGGCAAGGAAGAGCTGGCCAAGAGCTCCTTGTGATCGTGGTGTGGAGCTGCTTTAGCTAGTATGCTATTCTCAGCCTGGGTGTCAGCTTCCTGATGACCTTCGTGGGGAACATTTCTCCCAGTGGCCTGGGGCCACCTTGATGCCATCTTGGTTCCGCCTCAATGGCACCTTGGTGCAAACCAGCAAAGGCTGTTCTGGGATAAAACTGGGATCTCTTGCAGGCTACATGCAAGGCAGCAGACCCTATGCACAGGGAAAACCCTAAGCAAGGTGTCAGGACCCACATTCCTATAGGAGATGTTAGAAAGCACTTTTGGAACAGCAGGAAAACAGCTGCATTTTCCCACCGGCATATTTCAGTGATGGGATCCCTGCCTTCCTCCCTGCACACCCCATCCTCCCCCAACCCCACACACCGGTTTTCCAGGCATCCGGAGCCTGCAGGTCGGAGGTCTTCACCGCCCAGGAGGCAAAGGCACAGAAGACGAGGCACATGTCCTTGTGGGTCAGCGCCAGCGGGGCCTCAGGTCTGCCTGCGGGAAGGGGAGCAAGCTCAGGACGCAGCCCCAAAGTTGGTTCTTTTTGCTCCCACCTCATCAGACTGCAGCTCAGCAGTCATTGACATATCTCAGGGTCTTTTGGTGTAGAAGGATTTGGCTATTTTCCCTCCCATCCCCTCACCAGGAACTCATGTATGTTGTTCCGCAGGATGGCACAACCACAGGAACAACTAACCCAGCTAGGAGAGGGACTGGGGCCAGCACACAGCCTGCTGCATGCATGCAAACTGCACACCCTGCTAAATGCATGCACAGCGCACACCCCACTGCATGCACGCACAGTGCACACCTTGCTGCATGCATGCACAGTGCAAAGCCAGCAACGCACAGACCTCAGCAGTCTCCATGCAGAGCCTGCCGTGGGCTCACACTGCTTTACCTCTCAGTGCAAGGGCCATGTCCAAAGCTGGTGGATACTCAGGACCCCCTCCCAGTGGCACGAGGGCAAGGTGGGACCCTCTCCGTGCCAGTGATGGGGAGGCTGGCGCTTGGGTTCTGCTGTGTGGCTTTGGCCTCTGCAGGATGGACATCAGAGCCCCCACGGCTTTCCTCACCTCAGAGGCTGGTGAGGAGAAGAGAAATCCCCTCCAGCCCCTCCTGTGCTGGGGTCTGTCGGGGAAGAAGTGTTCATACAGCTCAGGCACTGTGGCAACCTGGGGCTCTTTGGCTGTAGCTGCATCGGGATCCTCCTTTTGCAGCTCAGTGTGGTGCAAGCCAAAAAACTCCTTCCTCTTCCTCTCTTTACGCTTGGCTTTTTTCCTACTTCCTTCAGGTTCATTGAAAAAATACTCATACAGTTCAGGCAAGGATATTTCCCTCTCCAAGGGTGTTTTCTCGCCCTCCACCGCGTTCTCTGCTGCTTCTTCTTCCCCCTGGGACTCGCAGAACAAATAGTCGTACATCTCAGGCCACGTCACATCCAGGCTGTCTGCCCCAGGAGGGCCCCCAACTGTGAATGTTGGGGAGCCCATCTCTCGGGGGGGGCTGGCTGTGAACTCCCCACAGCCCCCAGCAGCAGCAGCCACACTCAGGGGACCGAGAGCCTTCCCCTCCTGGCACAGCTCTCCCAGCCCAGTGACAACCACTGGTGTGGTGACAACCACTGGTGTGACATCTGGTGTAGTGACAACAACCGATGGGGTGACAACCACTGGCGTGGTGTCCGGTGCAGTGACCACCACTGGCACAGTGTCACACGCCCCTTTGCCTGCCACCTGCCTGTCCAGCTTGGTGGCCCTTGCCTTCCCTGGTGACTGTGCTCCTGACTCCTTTGCCTTCAGCTTTGGGGACACGCTGGGGGGCACACCCACCAGCTCCACACCAGGGCTGCCCATCGGCCATTTGCTCTCCGCAGCCTCCTCGCTGCTCAGCCTCATGGGTGCCGCTTTGGCAGCCTTCTCCTTCCCTTTGCCCTTCCTTGAGGTCAGTGGGGAGGACAAGGGGGTCCTGTTGGGTGTTGTGCTGCCCCGCGCTGGGCTCCCTGCTGGCTCCTTGTCCCCAGGGGTCACCTCGGTGCCACCAACTCCACGCTGCCTGCGGCTCTTCCTCGCTGACGCTGGCACTTTGGGTCTCACCACCTCCTGGACGCTGGGCTGGCTTCTTGCTTTCTCCCCAAGCTCTGCAGCAGGCTCTGCAGCAGGGTGCTCATGTGTAGGTCCCAGCACCCCAGCATGGCTTTTCCATGCAGTAGCCTCCTGGGCACCTCCCTGTGCCACTGCTGGGCTCCCACAGGGCTGCTCTGTACCGGTGTCTTCTCCTTGGGCACAGGATGCAGCAGGGTGCCCAGCAAGCTCCATGGCCCCACTGCCAGCAGCTCTTTCCCCCAACGCTGCATCCTGCCCTGCGGTGCCCTCAGCTGCAGGAGGATGGGGCGGCTGCCTGCCCTGCACGCTGGGCATGGCAGCAAACAGAGGGCAGACGGGCTGCTTGCCTTCACGTAAAATGGATGAGCACAGATCTGCTTCGTCCTCTCCGCACAGCCCACGTGGGGAACAGCTCGCCTTGCCAAGCCCTGGCTCGGTGCCTGCCCTGGTGCTGCACGGAGCGGGCACACCGTCCCCTTGCTCAATGTCACTGAGGCACTGCTCCTCTGCTGTGGCCAGGGCAGCCGGCTCTTGGTTGCATTCCTCCACCGCCCGCAAGAACTCAGCCCAGTCGCGGTCGTTCAGCTGGATGCTGTACTCGAAGTTATCCATGCCTGCAGCAGCACAGCAAGGGGAGGGGGGCCGGAGAGAGCAGGGAGTGAGGAGGGGGCATGGCATCACTAGAGAACATGCCCCCTAGCCATCGGCCCTGCTCATTTTGGGGATGGAATCAGTGGGATCTCATCCCATGAGGATGGCTCGTGGCAGACCCCATGGGCGGTGCTGAGCTGGGTATGGCCATGGCCACTCCATTCAGGGCTGCTCCGGGTATTCCCTCTGCACAGCACCAGGATATTGCATCTCTCCTTCCCTTTTCCCACTTGCTTTGCCCCCAACCTGTGCGAAAAACAGAGAGCTGAGGCTCTTTCCTGCTGCCCAGTGCCATGCAGGAGGGAGCATGCAGTGCAGCCCAAGCAGAGAAGTTTGCAGCCTTTTGGGGTGGGAGATGCAGCAGAGCCCAGAGCCAGCAGAAGGGGACCCAGCAGCAGGAGGAGAAGCAGAGAGGCCACAACAGAGCATCCTACCTGTGCCACAGCCCCAGGTGGTGACGGAGCCATTCAGAGAGCCATGCAGGAAAATCCCCCCAGCACAACATGATGCCGTACCCTTGACGGGGGCAGAGAGCTTGAGTTCTGCTCCATTCACTGCTAAAAATAGTCCCCATGTCACCTGAGCTGCGGGGAGGGCAGCTCCTTATTTAGAAGCTGCTGGGGCAGAGGCGAGGTGGCGGGCGGCACATTGGTGCCCTGTGCTCTATGGGGTCCGTGGGATTGTAGCCCCATGGGTTGGGCATCACAGCTCTATGGGTATCACAGCCCCATGGGATGGGCATCGCAGCCCCACGGGATGGCCCATAGAGGGGTCATGGAGAGCATCAGTGGGATCATAGAGTGCGCACAGGAGAACTGAGCAGCCACGGGACGGCAACCAGAACCAGAAATAACCCCAGCAGCCAGAAATAGCTGGGAACTGCTGCCCTGCCCCTGCTGTGGCCCCGTCCTGCAGGGAGGAAGCTCCCCTGCGCGGCTGCCGTCACGCACTGCACGGCCACGCGGCAGCACGCGGCCCTATGCATCCTGCAGGCTGACGCACACAGGGAGAGGACCAGTGGGAACACGGGGAAGGAAAGAGGGCTGCTGCCTGCCAGCCCTATCTGCCGTCTGATCTGGCTGCACCCTGCTCCCCCTGCTCCCCGCACGTGCTCACAGACGCAGAAGGGAAACCAGCCGGCTTCCTCCCCTTGGCTGCGCCCGCTTCCTTCCCTTTGAGCCCTCCACCCCGCCTCGCAGACCGCAGCGGGGAACATGAAAGCTGCAGGCGCAGCAGGACGGAACCAGAGCCAGCAGCGGGCTGTCAGCGGTGTCACATTGACAACTGGCACCAAACCCAACAGGAACTGCACACACCCCGGCCCGCGGGACACGAGCACGGCTCAGAGCGAGAGGCATCCAAGTGTTTTATTTTGTTGGCCGGGGTGAAGCCCACGCACCATCCTCGGGGGAGCTGCACATCTGCAGGCGCTTCCCTGCCTTCCTCTGGGCTGACCCTGAAGGCACAGCGTGCTGCAGGGTGATGCACCCCACGCTGCTCAGGGGATGCTCCTGTACCTCCGGCTCCCAGCCCCACACATTTGCTGCTTGGGCACTCAGGATGTGGTATAAATAACGGATGTCACCCTGTAATTAGAGATGGGACTGAAATAACGCAGCAGATGAGGCCCCTCTCTGCCCGATGGCACAGGATGGAGCGTGGGAGAAGGAGCCAGCAGCAAGGGAATGGAGCTCAGGGAAACTGAGGATCCTCTTTTGTGCAAAGGGTTTCTTTGGGCTGAACCCACTCCAGGGACAGTGCAATGTGGGTTTGGTCACAGAGAAGCTCTCCCTGCCTTGATCCAGATCCATCACAGTGTGTCTGCACAGAGGGAGGGATGGGTTTGCAAGAAGCAAGATAGACAATTATAACAAGCGTAATGGAAAGAGAAAGACATCTCCAGATCCAGGAAGGGGTTAACCTTGCACTGAAACTCCGAGCTCTGTGCTGCTGCAACCACCAGGCTGGTTCTGCTGGTTTGGGGCAGGTGAGGCTGGGAATCATCACCCCCAAACCATAGAGGTCGGCATTGTTTTTCCCTAGCCCCCCCCCCCCTTTTTTTGTGTGTGTATATGCGTGCATGGAAATCTGTCCCCAGGCTCTGTTAACATCCCAGCCCATGCTTCCCAGTGGGCTCACTCAAAGGTCAATGCCTTGGCTGCTGCAAAACCCAGCCTGCGCCTGGCTCACACCCCGCCAAGCTCTCCCAAAGCCTCGCATCCTGGCCTGAGTTTCGGGTTGCTCATCCAAGTCTCGTTGGGTTTCAGGTTTCCCTGCAAGCGTTGGCTGCTCTCGGCGTGCAGCAGCCTTGGGACACAGCTCCGTGCTGGCAGGATGGGTCCCTGTGCCAACAGGACGTCAGCTGCGCCCACGTGGAGCTGCAGAAGGAGTCAGGGCCACCACGGGCTGACGGTGTAAAGCTGCATTGCTGCGGTGTGATGCAGTCACACACAGTGTGGTTTGTGGTGGAGGTGACTGGGGACCAGCATCCACCACCAGGTGACAGCTGTCACCCCACAGCCACCTCTCCACAGCGCGCTCTGCGATGCCTCCAAGCCCTTCCCTAGCAGCTCTGCTCTCTTTGTCCTTTCTTTTTTTTTTTTTGTCCCCATGAGTTTGCTGGGCTGAAGTTCCAGCTCCCAGACATCCAAATCTTACTGCCAGCAGGATCGGTGCTTCACCTGCAGAAACCATTTCCCTGCCATTTCCACTAGGTGTCACTTCCACCCAGAAAGTCAGCGCTTTCCCCAGATTTTTCACCACCTGGTGCACAAGGATATGCAAACCCTAAAAAGAGGCTGCAATGACCAGGAGGTTGGGTTGGGGAGTTCCTGGGTTGGGACGTTGTTGGATTAGGATGTTGCTGGGTTGAGATGAAGTTGGGTTGCAATACTGTTGGGTTGTGATGGGGTTGGGTTGTGTTGGTATGGGATTGTGTTGGAATGGGATTGGTTTGGGACGGTGTTGGGTTAGGATGGGATGGGATTGGGATGGGGCTGGGCTGTAATACTGTTGGGCTGTGATGGAATTGGGTTCTAGGATTGGGTTGGGTTGGGATAGAACTGTGTTGGGATGGGGCTGGTTTGGGATACAGTTGTGTTGGGATGGGGTTGGATGGGGATAGAGTTGAGCAGGCTAGGGACAGGTGTCAGTGCTTGGAGAGAATTGGAGAATTGCAAGTGGGATGAGGTTAGGGTTAGGGCTAGGGCTAGGGTTAGGGTTAGGGACTGCACTGATCCCCAAAGCCTGGAGAATTCAAATGCCACTAACACAGAGTGCATGGTCATCCCAGTGCCACCAGTAACACCAGTGTCACTACTACCACCAGTGCTACCAGTAACCCCAGTGCCACCAGTGCCATGAGCTGCCATGCTTCAGGCTGAGCACCCCTGGGCCGTGCAGAGGGCAGGAAGCAGGAGGCAGCAGGAGCTGTGATGCTCCAGCACTGCTCACATCCTGATTTTGGTGGCACCACCAGACATGGGAACCCATCTGCCTCCCAGCAGGGCAAATAAACCCACCTCCCTCTATTAGGCCATTGTCTTTTGAGGAAATGTTATTGTTTCCAGCAAAGCCCTTCAACCACAGTGAGCTCTCCCATCTTCCTGTCTCCCTGCTCACATCTGGGAATCCTATTTCAAGCACACATTTTTTTCCTCCAATTCTTCACGAAAGTAAAATATTTCTTCTTCCCCCTTTCCCTTGCAAGGAGGGTGGATATGCAGCTTGCGCTTGGATTTGCATACCAGTTGGGCTTGGGCTGGGTGTTCTAAATGACTGAGGTCCTTTGCATGCTGCAAAAGGCCTCGTGGTTCCTCGAGCAGAACTTAAGGCACTCCTGGATGCAATGGCCCTGCATGCTGGGATGTGCACAGCACAGTGCCATGCAGGGCTGGAGCCGCTGCAACAACCCCACTAATAGCAATGCCAGCACAGACACACGGTGCAAATGGAAATCTGTGCTACCTGTCTGACTCATCTCTGCCCATTGATTTAGCAGCTGAGACCGAACCGAAGAGACAATAACAACTGCAAAGCAGGAGCAGACAGCAGAATTACAGCTGGAAGGAGATGAAAGGGTTGGGAGGAGCACGCTCCATCCCTGATAGGACTCAGTGCTCTGATCACCGGCTGCAGGAGCGTGGCATTGCAACCCGGCTCTGCCCTATGGGATGTGTGGGGGGGGGGTCTGAAGCTGTGACTGCACCCAGGGGGCTGCCCACAGCTCGCCCACCTCTGCACGAGGCTGTGACTTAAAGAACCCAGCGTGGGAGCAGGTCTGCCCCGCTCCGGCATCTTAACAAGAAGCAGCTGCTGGAGGCGGAGGGAGGGATTGCACAAGGAAAAGGCCCCACTGCATTAATTAAAGGTCACGGGGCCATTCCAGAGGCTTCCCAATTACCTTTGGAAGAGTGTCGCTAATGTGAGATAATGATGTCATACGGCCACTAATGAGGCAGGTTAACCAGACCCGCCGCCCCCTCCCCACGCCAGCACAGCCCCTCCCCCACCCCCCCAATTAAGGTGCCTCACCCCACTCATAACGGGGAAGAAGGAAGAGGCCGTGCCCCACTTTGGGGTTTTGCACCCAGGAGAAGTTCCAGCAAGGCCCATTTTGGTGAAGTGCTCCTTGGGAGTGATGTCAACAGGATATTGTTCCACCCTGACCTTACTGCCCACGTGGCTCCAACCAAATCCAACCCCATTAGCGCTCCTTAATGGAGCATAATTGCAAGCTACAAATCCTCCTCCCGATGTGTTGGGCTCCCGGGGGGCTTTGGGAGCACAAACCCACCTTGGGGACAACCCCACCCCCTCGGACCCATCCTGAGCAATGCACTGGGATGAAGGTTTGGGGGAGCAGGGAAAGCTCTGCCATTCCACCCTGCATCAACCCACGTGCAGGAGCTGCTCCTGCAAATGGGGGCTGGCTGATAAGCCGTAATAGCAGCCACCTCCAG